TCATAACCACGACGCTACCTGCCTTTTATAAAATAAATACATTAATACTAAAAATTATTCATTTAGTCAATGTAAGATGTTACTTGGATTTTAAATTTTAATTTTGCATATAATTGTAGAAAACATTTCATCAATGTGGATTTTTTAAATATGATTGTTGTTAAGTGCCGTCAAGTCAGTTCTGACTCATAGCAACCCTGTATAGGGTTCCTAAGGAATGGCTGGTGAGTTTGAACCACTGACCCTGTGGTTCAAACCAACCTTGAAGTCTAGAGTTTTATCCCACAGCACCACACCAAATTGTGAGTGAGACACAATTCTATATAGGTATTGAGGAGTTTTATGATGAATGGCACTTTGCACCTAATTTTAGGTTGATTTGAGCTACCAGAAAAACAACAACAACAAAACAAAAAAAGATTCAAATAAGATCAGAAATTTAGTGATGAAGAAGTAAAGCTCTCAAGTTTTAATCATTGAAATTACATTTTAAGATGATTTATGTTTGAATTTCATATCAGGATAAACAGTTCTTTAAAGCAAGGCATACTGAGATAGAGAGGGTTGGAAATTTCAAGGGAGTATTTGACTCTGGTTTGTTTATGTGCCATCCCATTTCATGTGTCTAAGAAATGTATTGTAAATGTCTACAGCTTATTTTCAGTTACTTAAACAGAACACATGCTGGTGTTGTTGTTAAGTGTTGTCGAGTTGGCTCTGACTTATAGTGACCCTGTATAGGGTTTCCAAGGAGCATCTGGTGAGTTTGAACTGAATTTACGATCCACTGCTTTATCTGATAGTGCCCCAAGTAGGTGGAAATCAGCATGGAACTGACAGAGATGGTTTGCTGCTAACAGTGGTCCCAGACTCAAAGTGGAGGTGGTGAGAATTTCAGTGGGTTTCACTGGGTGTGTCTTCCAAAATCACTCGAGGAAAAGCATATAGCAAACAAACACCAAGCACAAGTCTGCTTAATTGAGAATGTCTAAAACCTCTTCCTTGGGAAAACCACAGCAATTATTAAACAAGTAGGATCATCCTTCTAGTTTGATTGTCCATAACTAAGTTGAAAGAAGTTTCCAAGACCTCCTTTAGCTCCTCACTTGGTCAAATTACTCAAACATTTGATACATTTCTATGATACCTGGTATGCATCAATATCTCCTTCTGGGCCCTTTTCTCCATGAGCAGTCATCTATGGTATGGCTTGCCCTTCACAATCTTGTGGGTATTTTCAGATACCTGTGATTAACTAGAGGAAGACCCCCAATGAGATGGATTGACCAAGTGGCAGCATTGATGGACTCAAGTGTGACAACAGTAGTGAGATTGGCCCAGGATCGGGCAGTGTTTCATTCTGCTGTGCACAAGGTCTCTGTGAGTCGGTACCGACTTGATGGCACCTAACAACAACAATGATTAACTATTTTAAAACGCAGTTTTTAAGAGAGTAAAGATCCATGTTTTAAATTAGAATCCAAGTTGTGCTAGAGATAAGGAAAGGTTTTGGTTTCTAATTTCCTTTTTAAAAAATCAAAGGATAAATCATGTTGATTCAAAATAATAGGTATGCATCTTCATCAAGGTTTCTAAGAGTTATTTCTTTTGGTTTGGAAAACAGTTATTTATAGAACTATATGAACCACTCCTTATCATTTGTCCAGTCACTACCATCTAAACTAATATGGGTCTATCAAATTACAAAATCATATCGATAATTCACCAAGAGTTTAGATATTAAGGTTAACTACCGTGTGTACAAAACTTAAAAAAATTAAAAATGAAACCAAACAAAAGTTTACCTTCTCTCTTTGATGATAATTAAAATGATTTAAAATTCTGATCTATAACCTAAGAAATTTAACCTAATGTGCCCAGAAATTATCATTTTTTTCTTCATTTATTTTATACCTTAAGGGAAACTTACTGAATTGCAGGCATACACTTAGTACCCCAGAACAGAAATGAAGGTCAGTTTTAGAAGTAACCAGTCTCAAATGAAAACAGTGTTCTACATGGCCACATCATATTACACACTAGTTAGCCATAGTGAGAAGGCAGGTCACTCTTCAATTCGTATTTATTCCCCAGCATAATCAGACCACACTTCAAGTGTTTTGTTGTTGCTTTTTTTTTTTTTTCCCTTTCCCCACCAGGCATCAAAATGACACAATGTGAGATATTTCAGAGCTACTGTCAGCACATGAAACCCAAGACAACAAGCAACACAATACCACTATCAACAGGCAAACTCCAACAAAGTCTGGATTCGGATTTGTTTTATGTTAAGGGAAGCAGATTTCCTCAGGTGTTTAATAATTCAGAAGAAACAGAAATCACAATGGATTGACCTACAATGAGTCAAAAGAAGTCAAGGTTCCCCCCACCCATTTACCCTCTTGTTCCACCGACATTTTGAAAATCAAGGGAAAGACAAAGACAATGAAAAAGAGAATGAGAAACAACACAGAAATGATTCAAATGATTTCAAATCCTGAAATTGCATTTTATCCATCAGACTGACTGGCTTTAAACTCGTTCTCACCAGTTAGACCTTGCAAAGAAACTGAGCAGACATGCTCTTGCCTCCAAGGGTTGGCCTAGAACTGTCAGGGCAAAGTGTGTGAATGTATGTGTGCGCAAGTGTGATCTTTGAACCCATTTTATAAATACTGACACATGACAATTCTTATCATTGGTAAGAGTCTTTGGAATCCAATCATGCAGAATTACAGGCAGGGGCAGGTTAGGTTTCATGACAAGATGAACATGGCAAGGTGAACAGTTTAAATGCTAGTAAAGGGTTGGGAGATTTTGTTACCATTAGGAGATACTGGCCATTCGTCCCACATAATCAAAAGTTAGGTATACAGGAATCCATATATAAACAGTCGCCTTCCACTTCAGCTTGACTGACCAAGGAAACTGGTCAATATGAACCATTTTTAGACAGCAAAAGGACTCTCTAAGCTCCAAAAGAAATCATGAAATCTTATATTTTGATCACCAGAAAAATAATGAATATTAATATTTACACTGTAACTTTTAAATTATTTTTACAGAAAGGAGTTTCCCTGCTTGGCTTAATGATACATGTGGAACATGTTGGACTCAACAATTAAAATGTGTGTGGAGGATTGGTGTGGGAAGTGGGTTTTCTCTTCAGACCCAATACAGTTGGGCTCAGTTTTACTCTTCTCTGAGCTGTAGAAGACATAGTTTTCAAAGTCAGTTGACAATATTCTTCACAGAGTTTAATGCTTTCAATACTTGTATTATTTTAAGAGCATGAAATAGGAATGGATTTTGAATAATTTAGATTTTGCGGTAGATATTTAAAATTTCTTAATGTCTGTTCTACTTATTGTTTTGTTTTTCCCTTTAAGTCATAAAGGGATTTTATATATTTTAGGCTACCTTTCTTGCTCCATTGATCAAGGCCTGTTTTCTAATTGGCCAGTCAGATACTATCAGTACCTTTAGATATCATTTCTCTAATAATGACAACAGATTGAGAAAAGCTATCTCAGTCAAAGAGCTTACTGCAACTGGTGGGAATTGATTAGTCCCTAGTTCAAGTGTGGAGTGCATGTCAACTAAGTTCAGCCATCAGATTCTTGAAGATGCAATATTTTTATCAGGTTGTTTCTATTTTCCACAAGAAAATTTTAACTATAAGAAAGGGTAGGTTCCAAGGTCTCTTTCTTCTCTTCACTATGAATTTGGTCAAAAGTACCCAAACTTTTATGGTACCTGGTATGGACCAAGTGTTAGATAAACACTGGACTACTAACTGCAAGGTTGGCAGTTCAAACCCACCAGCCACTTCTCAGAAACTCAATACAGGTTTGCTAAGACTCAGTACCAAATGGATGACACTCAGCAACAACAACAATGTATCCTTTCTTAAAAACGAAAACACTGCCTCACAAAACACATATAACTAGCAAAGGCATAGCTAAAGTAGTTGTGGTTTTGCCAAACTTTCATAATTGACTTTCTCCTACACATGGGCATACAGCCATTCTTCTACAAAACACTATAAAACATTGCATTATGGGTTACTGCTAAACCAGTATCCCTACAGCAATTGATAAAGTATTAGGGCTCCATAGAGTGTCAAGTTTACTTTCCAGAATGAACCTCAACCACAGACATGACCTTCACTTTTCCCAGGAATACTGACCAGGTGACACTTACTGTTCAAAGAGTCTTTTGGAAGTTAAAGGTGATTACATAGAAAATAGTTGTTTTCTTCAGAAAGGGAGATTTAGTGCAGAACGTAATATATTCTCTGAACTTCATAATCACAGAATCATATCCCGAAGCTATAACCAGATCAGGAGGGTCTGGAGCCTTTTGAGGTGGTGGTCCTCTTTGTCATTCCATTACTTGTCTTGTTTGGAAATCAAGTAAAATTAATCCGACAAGCAATCAAGGGGTCAAACCCTTAGTTCTATTTCTAAAATGACATTTCAACCTGAGTGATTTATTTCTATTCTTTCTTGTCCATAAAAGAGATCCTGCTCCCAAGAGCCATACAAGAAGATGGGTCAGACTAACAGAGTTAGGAAAGATAGTAATTGCAAAGGAGAGTTGTCCATTCTTGCCTGTCTTAATCTGAATGAAAGAAGTCGCCACTTCTGCAGACAGGATAGGTGCTCTAACTGTTCGCTATAGTTCAGATTCTGACTGGAGATTTCCTTCTGTCTTTTGATATCATCTTGAATCTGATGAAATTCACCTTCCACTTAATCCCATGTGGTCAGAAACTGAGAAAGTGTAGAGGCCACCCAAGACACATCAAGAGAAGAATACAGGAAAAGGGGTTCAAGGAAAGAAAGAATAAGAATGTAATGAAGTAAAAAACAAGCAAACCAACAGAAATCAGGAGCTGTGACAGAAAAGTGACAGAGTCCCTGTGAAGAACGAGGCATTTACAAAACCAGGTTGTCTAGATTATTAACCACAAGAATTGGTAGCAAGATAAAGAAACTGGGGACAAACTATACATTCTAATGGTTTTCTCTCTAGCTTAAACCAATTACCTCTTTGAATGAATCCATCCCATAAGTGGCAGTATATTCGCATGGTGATGGCAGGGGAGGGGGGCATGGCTGTGGTACTCAATTGACCCTATTGCTTGAAAAGAGAGAAAGTTTCTCTTAGGTATTTAAGGCAGTTTTCAGAGCATTCTTATTTGCTCTGTTATATTTTTTTAATGGGATTCCACTTGTCAGTCACATCACACTCATCAACCATCCATTGCATGCATTTCTCTTCTTCAGGTGAAATATCACCACACTGGTGAGCACCGAAATGGTCAGAGTGCAGAGAACTGTGATGGATACTTCACCAAAGTGAATAAGAAGGGAAGCCTGTAGCTGGGACCTATTATTGCTGTGAAGTCACCCTGGTAGTGCATTGTATATAACCGAGATGTTTCACAGTACCTCCGTAAATGCTCGAGAGAGCACTGTAATTTCATTTGAGATTAATCCAGGTGATTTTTGCTAAACATGGACATTAATGCTTCATGGCTTTTAAAACAAACTCATATTGCTAGAGCTATTTAGTAGCAGTAACTTACTGGCAGAGTTATTGCTGTCGCATACATTACTGCTGTTGCAAAACTCAGGTGATCAGCCCTTCTCGGATTGGACACAGTTATGAAAGTAAATGAATAAATATGAGACATCAGCCATATTACAGAGTCAGGGAAACCACTGAGGGATATGAATGTCTGTGGAGATGTTTGTAAATGCCAACCTGAGGATCATCTTGCTTCTCGGGGATGCATCTTGATTAATTTATTCATTCTTATTCCAGAAGAGGAAAATAATATTTCTTCTCAAAATAGAATCTAGGTAGGGTCGACCCTGGGAAACAACAAACTCATGAAAAAAACACAACCCACAATCTGAAAGCAGACTAAGCAAGGCTCATTTTCTGTTAGGAAATCATAAGGAGGCAATAGCTCTTGGTTCTAGGGAGGGTTTCTTACAACCAAATATATACACAATAACCCTACATCACCACCTGTCACCCTTCCCAGTAGCCTCCTATTGTGACACAGAATTTGGAAATGACAAACAATGTCTACTCTAAAATATGGATGTCGGTGTCTTCTAATATCTGGGCAGTTAACTTCTTTTAGGTCTTAGACCACACTGCAACGCTACTCTCTAGTTTCTCCTACCTGCTCACTGTCAGAGCAAAGGCCCTCAGCTTTAGTTACATCTTCCTTCTAAAGACCAACTATTTCATACCTGAAACCTATGATCCTCCCCTCCCCCCGCCCACGCTCCATAAGCATCACATATGTTCTTTCTACAAATTGGTATACAGGTGCCATTTAATCAGTTCAAATTTGGAAGCTACATCTTCAAGAGTCCGAGAGAGCTCACTCCCCCCATAGTTTCCCCCTTTACATGTTTTCTTATATGACATACAGCTTAATCGATTAACAAACTAAACAGCTTATATACTGGCAATAGATTACAGATGGGTTTATGTCAGAGTAATAGATCACATGAAATGGACCATGTGGCACCCCAGTGCATGATGTCTTGGTGCAGCCCTGAGGACACTGACAGTAGCATCTCTAAGTTAGTAGTGCTGTATGAATACAGACACATGCAGATCTGTATCTACATCCATCTGACTAGGCCAAAAGGAGCAGGTAGATGCAAGATAGAGAAACACACATGCTGGATGGGGCCATTGCACACCTTGTCTTGCCATTTGAAAGGGCAGTTACAGGTTGCTGGTTTTTCAGCCATTCAATTTACACCTTATGAAAAAGGCTTCTCTAATTGTGTTTGATTTGCCTTCTGTAGTAAGCATTGTTGGAAAACGATCAAAAGCAAGAGCAACTAGGAGTTAAATATACATTTGAGCTTAGCTGTGTTACGGAACTCTGGAGAAGAAGCAGGCTGGAAGATTTGTTTTAATTTTAGGCTTTGATTCTCTCCCTTGCCATTTTCTTGTCATTGTGTGTCTACATTGATGTGTGTGCATGTGTGTCTGCATGTGTGTGTATTCCATCACATCATCTCCTGAAGAACGCTGGGTTTCGCAGGCAGGCGGCTAGTCACCTGCAACAACCCAGGGGTCCTGCTGAGGCTTCCAGGCTGCTGTCAGTGTCAGATGCCAGGGTCTGGTCGGTGGACATGGAGGAGATGTCGTTGACGGACGAGGATGGAGGGAGACTCTCACTGCTGTTCACTGCTGCACCTGTGCTAAGAAAATGAAGACCAACATGACTAAATCTGGAACGACACCCAACTTAGTATCATTCAAGATACAGGAAAGGGCAAAGACAAAAGGAAATGTCTAATCCGTCATTCCTTGGACAAACCTTCAGAAAACAATTTATACTGGGCACCATAGTAGAGATGTAAATAAAAGCATTAACAGTGAGTCTCTAGTCAAAAGCATTTCCATTTAGTGCAAGCTTATCAAATCTTGCTCTACATAAGAAATCACTTGTATTGCTTTTGAAAAATGATGATTTTATGCACGATCAACCATTCAAGGTCACCAGCTGCTCCTCGGAAACCCTATAGAAAGTTGTTATGGGTCAGAACCAATGGGATGGCACTTAACAACAACAACAACAACATCTCCGGTGTTGTGATGTAATTGCATTTTGGAGAGGTCAAAGCATTTGCATTTGTTTTATAAAGCTCTCCAAAGAGTATGTAAACGTGAGGTAAAGGTCACTGAAGGAAAAGGCAGCTAGTTATTTGGAGCCCATGGGTGGACCAAATGGTTAATGTACTTAGCTGGTAACTGAAAGGTTGGAGCTTAAAGCACTTCAGTCCACTCAGAGGTACCTTGGAAGAAGAGCCTGATGAACTTTTTTTTTTTTTTTTTTAATTAGCCATGAAAATTTTAAGGAACACAATTCTTCTCTCACATGCTGTGAGTTGGCGCTGACTCAGTGATGGCTGGTTATGAAAAAAAAAGATGCGCAAAATGCTTTTATATAACAGTTTCTGTGCCTGGATTATCAGGGAACTTTCAAGATAAACACATACCAGAGTCCTATTCCAGAACAGTAGGCTGAGGTGAAATGCAAAAATCTCAACTATGTGGGGACTACTTCCCCAAAAAAAGAAAGGTATATGATGTAAACATTATTATATAATCGTCAAAATGGTGTTGTTGTTGTTGTTAAGTGCTGTCGAGTCGGTTTCGACCCATAGCGACCCTGAATAGGGTTTCCGAGGAGCAGCTGATGAGCTTGAATAGCCGACCTTGCAGTTCAAAGTGAGTTTCAGTCCAGCCCATTGGCCCACAGCACCACACCAGGACTCCTTCAACATACATATTACCTGCTTATTTCTGATTCATTAGAATTGATGATGTGCCATATCAAAGAGATCTCCACAGTTGTTTAGGACATCACATCTTCATCCCTGATTGTTGTTAGTTTTTGTCAAGTTAGCTCTGACTCACGGTGACCTCACATATTAGCAGAATAAAATATTGCCCAATCTGGCACCATTTTCATGATGCTTGGTATGTTTAACTTCATTGCTGCAGCCATTTCTCATTACTTAATGGCAAAACAGCCCAAATTCTCATATATTGCTCAACGTATGCTCGTGTTTGCGTCAAGATCTTATGTTTTCTCCATTCCACAAAGCTTTCTATTATAGCATCTAGATCTTAAAGCCACCACCATGCTCCCCTAGGCCCCTTTCCCTGAAACACAGCCAACTCCTGAAAGTATCACTTCTCTTTCACCTCTCTCAAGCACAGCTGTTTGTCTTTTCCAGCAATGAGTTATTGGTCTGAAAGATAGCTAAGTATTGCTTTGTGCTTTGCTACTACTTCCAAGCCTCTGGTTTCCTTGCCTCTGCAAAAATCTCCTTGGAAGCACATTATTATCATTCATTGAATATTTTAGCACAAAACCATTCCCGCCTCATAACTCCTCAGTCTCCATCTGCCAACATAGTCATTTATCTCCTTGATCTTGTCACTTTTGATAATCTTGCTCTCTCCTTGTCCCAAATCAGCTGCCCATGCCCAATACCATGGTTATACCTTACACTAAGTCATTACCAATCACTACACCATTACCAAAATTTCCATTTCAAGCATCTCACTCTCTAATCATGATTTATATTTCTAGCTTATTTGTCTTCGTACCATCACCCCACCAATCCTTGCAGGCAGTGATGGTACTACTCTCCCATACACATTCAAAAGATCTTTGAACGGTTGACTTTAAGCAGTTTTCCCTGTTTATCATGTTTATGATGGTTAAGTTTATATGTCAACTTGGTAGGCTATAAATAAATAGTATTTTATTTATTAAATAAAATCAAATACTAATTAATCTAGGTGTTGGGGTAATGGCATTTTAAACATGTGGTTAGCATCTACAATCATTTGACCTTGTTGTTGTTGTTAAGTGACACTAAGTCCATTCCAACTCACAGAGACTGTGTAGAAGGCTTCCAAGGAGTAGATAGTGAGTTTGAACCGATGACATTGCACTCAAACCAACTGTGGTGTCGAGCACCACACAAGAAATTACCCCTAACCATGTAGGTGAGTGTCACCAATCTGTTAATTGTAAGGCCTTAAGAGAAGAAAATTGAGGTTTCCCAGAACCATTTTGGATTTAAGACTACAGTATCAACACCTGCCAAGTATCCAACTTATTGACCTGCCTACAAATTTCAGACTCAAATTTATGTAAACTAATTTCTTAAATTTTTTTAAAGAATTTTTTTTTTTAAATCAGTAACTAAACAAAAAAATATACAATCTCTTTAATTCATATCACTTTCCTCCTTACTCAGCTCAGATTTAGCTGTTCTTTATCAAAATTATTTTCTTTTCTTCATTCTCAAATCCCTTTGTTGTTGTTGTTGTTAGGTGCATCTTTCCACCTCCCTCCAATTTTACTTTGAGGAAAACAAAAATAAAACACACAAATCTGGCTAGAGTCAGTATATGCATGCTCCTAACCTGTTGTGGCCCTGTGGGTTAATGCGCCAGACTGCAAAGCTGTTTGAACTGCAAGGTCGGTGGTTCAAGCTCACCAGCTGCTCCTTGGAAACCCTATACAGGATCACTATGGGTCAGAATGGACTCTATGGCACTTGACAACAACAACAACAACCTGCACCCAAGGAGCCCTGGTGGTATAGTGGCTTATGTGTTAGGCTGCTAACTGCAAGGTTAACAATTCAAGTCCACCAGGTACTTCATGGGAGAAATATCAGGATTTCTGTTTTCCTAAAGATTTAGTCTCAGAAATCCTACACATTGTCTACAGGGTTGCTATGAGTTGGAACCAACTCAACTGCACATAGCCAGCCAGTCTGCACTCAAGAAATTAACACAAACACAAAACAAACACTATCATGTTGTCTTTTCTCACGTCATATTTATGACCTCATGTGGATCTTACCATTGCCTAGTAACTTATATTTATACTTCCCAAAGACAGTTTTACTACTGTCTCACAACTTGTCCTCTTCCTTCTCAGTT